CAGTCTTATGTTATTCTTCTTTGCATCGTCTAGCAGCTGCTGGATTGATTTCTTATGTTCCCTTACAATTTTAATGCAATTTTTTTTCTCCTTATCACTAATTGCAATCTTATCTTCTATATGTGAAATTCTATCCTCACATTGGTTCATTCTGCTATGTAGACTTTCAATGGAGTTTTTAATCTCCTGGAAATCTGTTTTCTCGATTCCGTTTGTTTCCTGTGTTGGGATTCCATCATGTTCCTCAGATTCTCTGTTTTTTTATGTGTGTCCTCTCTAGATTTCTTAATTATATCTTGGACTATAGGCACAATCTCTGCTGTTATCTGAGAAATTATTTCTCATTTCATTTTTTCCAGATCCTCTTGTTGCCAGTTCAGGCAGTCCAGGTGGTTGAGTATCAGAGTGTTCCATCTCGTTTCCCTTTGGGGTAGCTGTAGGTGATCTGGAAATCTATTTTTGAGGCTTGTTTATGTGTCTTCTTATTTCGACGGGTGGGGAGGTGCTGCTGGCGCCGACGTGGCTCACCTCCTCTGCACTTGGAGCATTGGCATATCAACCTGGAAGCCTCCTCCTTTGCGCTGGGAGCTGTGGCACATCACCCCGCAAGCCTCCTCCTCTGCCCTGCGGGCGGTGGCAGGTCAACCTCAAAGCCTCCCCTGCCCTCACATATTTTCTGATGGGGTCAATGGTTCTTTTAAAATTTTTATTAGTTTATGTTTGCAATACATAATTAATATGAACATTAGTGTGTGTTGACACATACACATAACACATGTTGATTCTTTTTACTTCCCCTCCTCTCCTGTCTCCCCCATTCCCAAAGTCTACCTCCCTATTTCCTATCATCTTTTAGTTTTCTCCTTAAATTATTTATACTTTGGCTTTCTCATATAAGAGAAACCTGTTTCTGATTTACTATTTTTTCAGTTCTAGACGATGTTTTAATGTATCTCTTATGTTCCCATTGAAATCCTTTTTCATCATACTACAAATAATTTATAAGTCTGTAGTAGTCTGCTAATTCTTAAGGTACACCCTTGATGTGTTCTGTATTCAATGGACTGATAACCTTTCAGTAGTAATCTTATATAGAGTACTATTAATATATTTTCTTCCACAAGGTGTAGGGGTAGAGAGTTGTGTGGTTCTGATTAGTGAGGGAATAGTTGATAATAGCTATCATAAAATTCGCTTTCCACAAGTTACCAAACTAGTTGTTGACATCATAATTAATTGTATTGATTTAGCATAGCTTTCCCTTAAGGTTAAGGTGACTTTTAATTCTTCTATTGTACATTTTTGTAGTTGTTCATCAGCTATTAGGAAATTAACTATGATTTTAAGAATAAAGACTGTAAGTTTAATTACAAATCCTTTTACTTATTGTTACATTATTTTGATCTTTCTTGCAGTGCAAGGGATCAAACCCAGAGTCTCTGACATGTTAGGCAAATTCTCTACCACAAGCTACAGAGTGAGAGAATAGTCCACTTTCTTCATTAAAATTAGAGTGCAAACATGAACATACACACTGTTTATAATCTGGAACAAGAAAAAAGCATTGGCCGGACCTGGTGGCAAACACCTGTAATCCCAGCACTTAGGAGGCTGGGGCAGGACAGTTGCTGCAAGTTTGAGTCTAGCCTGGGCTACATAGTTCAAGGACAGCCTGAACTACATAAGAGAGACCCTAACCAAAAAAAAAAAAAGAAGAAAACATTTTATATTAGCTCCTCATGTACCTCCTAGGCATCAGTTCATCCATATCAAGTACTAAAGTATGTGTTACTAATCATAATGGGTCCCTTTTAATGTTTTTTTTGGGGGGGGGCATGTATAAAGTACAGCAGTGAGACAGACTTTGTTAAGGTTTTCATATAAACATGTGTTCTATGTATAGAGACCTTAGACTTAATGACCACGGGCAAATCTTCATGGTACTTTTATTTATAGATTGAATTTCAAAAGCCCCAGAGGGTTATTTCTTGTTTCATAGTGGGACATGCAGAGATTATTCTCCAGGCTACTAGAAAAATGCCCTGCTACTTTTCAAGCATGCCAGATGTAAAGGCTATGTAGTTTAAAGATGGACTTTTAAGTAGCAGTAAGTTTCTGGAAATTGTGAGCCAAAATTAAGGAAATATAGTCATCAAATTCCTTTTACATGGCATTGTGCAAGCTGATTATACAAGTTTTCCTTTGGTTTCATATAAGAGTATTATTTTCCTTTTCTTTGGATCATATTGATTTCCCAGACTTAACAAGCAGAGGCCTGGTTTTGCTGAGGCTTTTCTTAATTTAAAAGTGGAATGGCAGCTCTTACAGCAAAGGAAATATATGATGTCCATGCGATGAGTTAGGTTGTGAAACTGGCTTGATGTAATGCGTTTGCCATTGAATTCAATGCTGAATTTGATTCTACTTCCCCTATTTTCCTCATGAAAATATCCCTTCCCCCTTCTAAACCAAAATATATATTGCTTTAATATATTTGTGCCTGATGCATTGAAATGTAAATATAGTGAATCTGCTTTTTGCTATGAAAGTCATTGAATTACATATAGAATTTAGAAGTAAAGTTATGTTTTGATTGCCTGTCTCAAATGATTTTGTTTAAATTCTTCATATGCAATTGGGGCACTTTGGAATAGTCTGTCTTCTTGACAGTTGTTCGGGTGACAGTTGTCCAGAACATAAGTCATTTCATATGTTTTTGGATATAAGATAACTCCTTTTTTCCTGAAAAATAATTTTTGGGTTATAAAATTCCCACCAGATATCTGAGCACATATAATAATTCCTTATATTTCATGCTATATAAATTGATATTTAGAAGTATTTCTCAGTCTACAGAAGTCAGAGTCTAATAAACTTATTCTTACTGAATAATTCTTTAGTTTTTAATGTGGATTTTGTCTTGCTTTCCTTTTTTTTTTTCCCTGTGAGGGGTTGGACATAATTGCCTTATTTCATTTCAGGGATCCTTCTAAAGTAAATATTCTGGTACCTGGTGCTGGACTAGGAAGACTGGCCTGGGAAATAGCTATGCTAGGGTATGCTTGTCAAGGAAATGAATGGAGTTTTTTTATGCTCTTTTCTTCCAACTTTGTACTCAACAGGTATTTCATTTATTTTGGGGGGGGGCTGGAAATAGTAATTTCTCAGAATCAGATCACTTACAAATTTTCGGAACAAGTCTGAATTTAAAGTGCATAGTGTGTGATTATGGTGTAGATCATGAATAGTTAAATTCAGAATGTTTATAGAAATTACCACCTTAACCAATTGCTTAGTTAATAGATTGTTGAAATAGGATGAGTTAAATGACTTTTTAGAAATTGATTGGCCATTCCATAGAATAGAAATCCTTCCTGTACATAATCTTCAGACTAAGTATGATCCAGGAAGCGCTATTTTCTCATTGTCCATTAAACTTCTTCACCCTTTTGTTTCTTACACGAAGCGTTTAGCAGTCAATTATAACTTTTTCTTAAGCGAGGTCTTTTAAAATGGCCACATATGCTCACATGACTGAGATGGAAAGATCTTTAAGAACTTTTGTGGCCTCTATTGGTAGGTAGTGGGAAAGATTTGTCATTTTTAAAATCAGAAGATGTGTGTTAGAGAAAAACAAATGGCTGCCTTGTTTAAAAATGTGTTTGTTGTCTTTGATGGCAATATCAGTTTTAGGGAGTTAGAAAAGAGAAGAGGATTGTACAAGATAATTAAAATGTAGAGCAAACTGTTTTAACAATTAGTTGAACCATTTTTACTTGAGTTGGAAGTTCAAAAAATACTTTTTCCTAAATTTGAATGAATAGCACACATCTGTTTTAATGCACGATTGCTTGCGCGCGTCTACATATGTACATTTTCAGATAATTGAGTGGGGTGTAGTATTGACACTGTTAAGTTCTAATGAATTATACATGGAAACATTTAGTCAGATTATATTTTAGGGTTTAAGTAGATATTATTAGTAAAATGCTTAGTTAACATTGAATTTTATACTCATATTTTTCAGATGTTCTGAAATTAATAAATATAAACTTTATCCCTGGATCCATCAGTTTAGCAATAACCGGAAATCAGCTGATCAGATTCGACCCATCTTTTTCCCTGATGTTGACCCCCACAGTCTTCCTCCTGGTTCTAACTTTTCTATGACAGCAGGAGATTTTCAGGAGATTTATTCAGAATGCAGTAAGTTCATAGCAGGCATTTTGAAAGTTTTTTATTTTAAATTTCGTTGGGGATTTAGCTCAGTGGCTCCACCGCCTGCCTCACAGGCACAAGGTCTTGAGTTCGATCCCCAGTACCAAAAAAAAAAGGCTGTATTAAATTTAATGAGTTAATGTTTTGGTCATTCATTTTGATGATACTTCAGCAACACCTTAGAATATTTTCAAGCCAATGTGCAAAGCAGTGATAGGAACTATAAAGAACTACATTTACAATGAAGAAACTTAGAATTTATTGGGTTAGTTAGCATAAGAACATGTAAACAGAGTTTGTATGTAGAACGAATGCAAGAAAGATGAAGATAAGTCAGTATGAGAAGGGGGCTCTTTGTAGAGAAGCCGTGACCTGAAGGGTAGGGAGCAGTAGCATTTGAGGCAGGCAGCGGTACAAAGATACAAATGATGAGTGAGGTAGTCACACAGCAGCACAACCAGACTGGCAGGAAAAGAGATTTAATGGGGGCTTTAATGGGAGATTTGGCTAGAAAAATAGGTTGGGTCTACATTGTGTAAGAATATTATAATCAGGTTGTGTAGGCTGGGTCTTCAGCTTGGCAAAGTGTTGAAAATATTTGACCTAAACATTAGAGAAATATGGCAATGGTAAAAGAGAAGAGATATTGATAGTAAAAGGAACAAGAAACATAGAATACTGAGTAGTCAGCAAAATCATCAAACAAATGTTTATGGACACCTACAAAGCACTAGGTATGTTCTAGGCAGTCCAAAGAGCACAGTAAGTAAACGTTTCTGTGCACAGGCAACTTATACTCTAGAGGGGAAAAACTAAAATAGGGACCAGAGCTGGGCGTGGTGGCACACGCCTGTAATCCCAGCACTCAGGAGGCTGAGGCAAGAAGATTGCCATGAGTTCTGGGCCAGCCTGGGGTACGCAGTGAGTTCAGGGCCAGCCTGAACTACAGAGGCAGACCCTGCCGCAGAAAACCAAAAAATAAAATAAAATAAGGCACAGGGGGACTTGAGATGGGCTGCTGTTGTATATAGAGTTATCAGGGAAGGCCTTTTAAGAACAGAAGCTTTGAAAGAAAAAGTCCAGCAGAGAACCTCAAGAGTGGAAAGCCAGGACATTCAGATATGGTGAGGAGAGTGCAGGGCTGCAGAGAGAGGAAGTGACGAGGAGAGAGGGTGGCAGGAGAGACCACTTGTTCTTCTCCAGGGGGAGCTGTGGTGTGGTAAGTATTGGGCATGGTGGGGGAGAGCAGAGGGCAGAGGGTTGGTGAGGCAGACGTGTAGGCCATAGCAAGGACTCTGACTTGTACTTTGAGAGAGCTGGAAGGCCACTGGAGAGAGAGCTTGCAGCAGGGGAGTAACAACAAAGGAAGTTTCTGTGTTATCTGTTTTTTACAACATGCAGAGGCTTTGTTTATTTTACCCTGAACTCTAAGATTGAAACTGTACCTGAGGTTAGAAAGGAAGAGATGGAAGATGTTAATTATTGGATAAAAATTATGAAGCAGGGTGTCAAAATAGGAGTGAAATAATGGAAAATATTAAGCAAGTAAAAGTTGCTTGCTTCTGGAGCAGGGTTTGAGAGTGGATGGTGCAGTAACCTTTGGTAGGATGGGGGCCCTGTGCACTGGACAGACGTGCACCTTCAGTCTGCTGCCTGTCCCTGTGCCAGGCCACCGCCTTCCAGAGGTAATGGCGTTCTTTGCTGGGTACCCACTCTCTGCATCTGACTTCCCTGGTCCTCTTTTTCTTTGGCGATTAAGTCAAATCTTGATGAATATTTAGGGATTTTGATGTTACTCATTTTTCAAACTGGCAGCAAATTCTTGCAGTCCTTTTAAAGCCTGCAAGAATTGGTGATTAGCACTGGTTTAAATCAGAATTTAAAGTTGTGTCTTAACAGATTTTAAATGAAAGCCAGGGGCAAATGATAGAGCTCAGTGATTGAGCATTTGCCTAGCATAGATACAAGCCCTGGGTTCCATCCCTAACACCACAGAAAAGAATGAATGAATGAATGAATGAATGAATGAAAGAAAGAAAATACATCATTTGGTAATGATATCTGTGGATACATGGTATTGCTAATGATTTCAAATCGCCTATCAAATTGGTAAAACGTTATGAACTAGAATATCGGCCATAAATGATTATTTGGTTACTTCGATTATAATGTCGATCAGATGAGTTTAGCTTCTGTATCCCTGAAATTAAATAAAATATTAATACTCTATAAGCGGTAACTGTCAAGTTTCAGGGGAAAAAAAGCAAAATAACATATGCAGTGATTTGATTTTTCTTGGTTAGATACCTGGGACTGTATTGCCACCTGTTTCTTCATAGACACAGCTCACAATGTAATTGATTATATTGATACAATATGGAAAATACTCAAGCCAGGTGGAATTTGGATAAATCTTGGTAAGTGCTTCCATACTTATTAAAATTTTACACATTAATTTGAGTACCTATATCTGCTTTACATTTAGTAACTTCACCATGTTCGTGAAAGTTCTAATTACATTGTACATTTTAAAACCTGTGCAGTTTCCCTTAGACTATACACTAGTAGTCCAGGTTCCTTTAGACTATATATTATACTGTATATTAGCCCAAACATTGTCTGTTTGTATTTAGGTCCATCTACAGGAGTCATAATTTCAGAGTATACAAGCTTTTAATCTGGTGGTTAGGTAGTTATTCCCTCATCTTTTCTATTGCCCGGTCCATGGAGAAGGCAATCCATTCTGTTTTCTTTTTTTCGTAATAAAGAATTTAGGGGGAAGATTTTACTCTCCCTTGGAGTCCTCACTAGTATATCCATTTACTGGGAAAAGATGAGGTGTGGTTACTTTTCTGATTACCTTGACTTAAAGAAAGAGTAGAAATATCATTTCACTTAGAAACTTGCACGGCAGTTTACTGCTTGACACTGGAAGCGAATGATGCAACATGGCAGGATTCCTTCAGTCTAGGGCATGAGGAAATTGTGTTTTCTTCTCTTTAAAATAAAGAGAATATAAAATAATGATAATATTAAGGTAAGTGTACATATCTTTTTTTAGTGAGAGATATAATTTATATTTATAAAGACACAGAGCTAAGATACAGAGGCTGTTGGATGAAGGTTATCATACTATGTACAAGAACATGTGCACGTGGTATGAGGCCTTAATATTCAGGATAGGTCTAGGTGTATTTCTGAGGGTTGGTCCGGTCCCATCACACTCCCTGCCCCCAGTACTGGTGATTAAACCCATTTGCACTCTACCATTGAGCTACATCCCCAGCCCTTTGTATTTTGAGGCAGAGTCTTGCTAATGTACCCAGGCTGGCCTCAAACTTGTCCTCCCTGGTTGCTGGGGTTACAGAGCATATGCCACAGTGACGGACGTCTACTCTCTTTATTTTTTAATGTCAGAGCTATGATGTATTGAAAAGGCACTGTTAAATAGTTGAAGAAGCTGAGTGTTGGGTCACATAACTAGCAGACAGGTCCTATAGCTTATATGTGGCAGAGATAGACTCATAGTCTGACAGTTATTGTAATTTTGTAGCTTAGCATTAATATGACCCTGTATTTATGTGATTGAAGTTTTTGGTCATGGTTACTACTGAGTTATGGGAAAGTTTTGTGTATTTCAACAGCACTTAACTTTTCATAGAAACAGCTTCTTTTTTGAACACCTGTTTTGTTGCTTTATTACTGTTTTATTAAGTTATGTAATAATAATCAGAGCTGCCTTGAACAAATGAAATTGCTCCACCGGCCTACACTTAGCTAAGGGTAGCCATCCTACAATATGGCCTGTGATCTGTCATGGTCAACAAACGTCATGGAGCACCTTGGTTAATAGTAAGTTGTTTAGAACTTCCAGACTTCTAACTATGGAAATTCAAAGCAATTTTGAGAATTGGAATCACAAAAAAACTTTGAAAACAGTTATTTGGAAGGTTAATACTTTACAAATAAAATGCTTTGCACATATAAATTAAAATATAAATCTCAGAATCAATTTTTCTTTAAGTGTTGGTATGTTCTAGATATCTAATCCATGTATTTTGCTCTTTGTTTCCTGTACTCATTCTTTATACATGTTTCTTCTATCCAATCTGATGACTTACCCTACTTTTCCAGTTCCCAGTCTGTATCTGATCCAAATGTCTTTTTCTACTTAGATATACCACAGATACTTCGAAATCTATGCCTCTTGAAAAAATGATCTCCATGCCTTTTCTACCCCATCATCTACTTAGATTCTTCCAACCCAAGAACTGGGAGAACCCCCTCTCTCCTTCTGTTAGTTAGCTTGGGCTGCCATAACAACATATCACAGATTGGGTTGCTGTTTTAATCATCTTTCCCATTGTTGGGACACAATAACCAACACATAACTTAAAGGAAGAAAGGTTTAATTTAGTTCAGTTTCAGTCCCTGGTTGACTGGCTTCAGGACACAGACATCTTGGCAGAACCGTGTAGTAGAGTAAAGCTGTTTTTAGTTCATGGCAGCCAGGAAGTAGAGCAGGGGAAGAGAGCCAGAGGGGGAAGGGCCAGGGACCATAGATAATACCCACGGTCACAGCTGCATGACCCATCCACACATAGGTGTGCTCTGCTAGTCAGCTAGGCATTTCTTCATCCAGTGAAGTTGACATAAGCAGTAATGATTATGGTGTACACAACACAAGATTATGGTAAGAATTAAAATGTTTTTCATTAGGATATGTTTGCAGTGTATCACGTTTACATTCATCTTAGGGAATAGGTATGTGTACTTAATGTATCTTAATTCCCTCCTCTCCCTCCTTTGTCCCCAGATCCCTTCTCCTATTTTCTTCTTACTTTTCAGTTCATGTTTGTGACACATAATGATTACATTCACTGTGGGTAGTTGATACATACACACGACACATCTTAATTCTCTTTATGTTTCCTTCCCCTCTGCCTCTCCAAAAACATCTATTTTCCTGTTTCCTTTTATCTGTCTTTTATTTTGCTCTTTATACTTTGGATTTCTCATATGAGAGAAACCATACAGTATTTAAGCTTATGTATCTGATTTATTTTACTTAGTTTTATGTTTTCAGGTTGCATCCATTTTTCTATACAAAACTCAAATTTATCTTTCTCTGTAGAAGAGTAGTATTCTATTATATATAGATATTATATTTTCTGTATCCATTCCACAGTTGATGGACATACAGGCTGCTCCCAAGATTGAGCTACATATTATGAATTGTGCTGCTATAAACATTGGTATGTGTGTAGTGCTGTAATATGATGTCTTTAACTCTTTTGAGAAGATTCTTAGAAAGTGAATAGCTGGGTAAAATGGCATTTCCATTTTTAGTTTTTTTAGGAATATCCATACTGATTGCTAGAGTGATTGTACTAGTTTACCTTCCCACCAGCAATATACAAGGGTTCCCTTTTTCCCAAAGCCTCACCAGCATTGGGTATTATTTCATTTCTTGATGATAGCCATTCTTCCTGGAGTAAGATGGTATCTCAGTGTTTTAATTTGCATTTCTCTAATGGGCAGTGATGTTGACCATTTTGTCATGTATTTGTTGCCCATTTGTATTTCTTTTGGGAAGTACCTGTTCATTTCAGATGCCCATTGTTTGATTGGGTGTGTAATTTTGGGAGGTCTAATTTTTTGGAGTTCTTTATTCTAGATATTAATTCTTAGAGGTGTAACTGGTGAAATTTTTTCCCACCTTTTAAGGTTGTCACTTTGCTGTTAGTTGTTTCCTTTGCCATGCAGAAGCTTTTTAATTTGTTATAATCCCATTTGGTTACTCTTGCTGTTAATTTCTTGTACAATTGGAGTTCTGTTCAGAAAGTCCTTGCCTATCCTGTGACTTCAGGAGTTTTACCTATTCTATCTTCTAGCAGGTTAAATGTTTCTGTTGTAATATTTAAATCTTTGATTCATTTTTATTTTAGTTTAAAACATGATGAGAGATAATGGGTCCTGCTTCAGTCTTCTGCATGTGGATAGCCAGTTTTCCTAGCACTATTTGCTAAAGAGGCTTCTTTCCTCCAGCATATGTTATTGGCCCCTTTATCAAAGATCAGGCAGGTGAGTGTGTCTGGAGTTGTTTCTGCCTTCTATATTCTGCTCCATTGATCGATGTGTCTTTTTGTTGTTGTTGCTTTGCTAATACAGTACCATGCCATTTCTATCACTATAGCTTTACAGTATAACTTGAAGTTTAGGATTGTGACGTCTCCTGCTTTGCTCTTATTGCCCAGGATTGCTTTTGCTATTGTGAGTCTCTTTTGGCTCCATATGAATTTTAGGATTGTTTTCTCGTTTTGTGAGGAATGTTATTGATATTTTGATTGGGATTGCATTAAATCTGTGTATCAGTTTTGGAATTTGGCCATTTTGACAATATTGGTTCTGCCTATCCAGTTACTGGGGATGTCTTTCTATTTTCTGATGTCCTCTTTGATCTCCTTTTCCAGAATTCTGTCGTTTTCATTGTAGAGGTCTTTTACTTCTTTGGTTAGGTTGTTTCCTAAGTATTTAGTTTTTCTTGATGCTACTGAGACTGATACTGTTTTCCTAATTTATTTCTCAGTGCATTCATTATTGGGGTACAGTAATGTTAGTGATTTTTGCATGTTTTTGTATCATTCTACATTTCTCTATTTGGTTATTAATTCTAGGCTCTTTCAGTGGGATATTTTGGTCTTTCTATGTGGAGCATCATGTCATCTGTAGATTTTGATAAGTTGATTTCTTCCTTTTTTATATTTATTCCTTTTATCTCTTCCTCTTGCCTGATGGCTCTGGCTAATGTTTCAAGTACTGCATTAAACAGCAGTCAGTGGATGTCCCTGTCTTGTTCCTGACTTTAGAGGGAATACCTTCAGCATCTTCCCATTTATTATGATGTTGGTTATATGTCATAAATGGCTTTTCTCATATTGAGGTACAGGTTCTTCTGTATTTTCAAGATTTTTATCACAAATTAGATGTTGGATTTTCAAGCTTTTTCTACATGTATTGATGTGATTATGTGATTTCTTTTTTGTCCTTCTGTTTATGTAGTGTACTACATTTATTGATTTGCATGTATTGAACCATCTTTGCATCTGTGGGAGGAAACTTACTTGGTCTTGTTGCATTCTATTTGCCAATATCTTATTGAAGATTTTTACATTTATGTTTATTAAGGAGATTGGCCTGTGTTTTTCTTTTTTAGTTGGGTCTTTGTCTGGTTTTGGGATTAGAGGTGATGCTGGCTTCCAGGAATGAGTTTAGAAGCACTCCTCCGCTGTCAGTTTTCATTAAAGAGTTTGAGAAGTATTGGTGTTATAACCTCAGTGAAGGTCTTGTATAATTCAGTAGTGAATCCACAGGTCCTGTGCTTTTCTTAGTTGGTAGGTTTTTGTTTTGTTTTTTTTAACATTGCCTCAATTTTATTGCTCATTATTTGGATTATTCATAATTTTTATGTATTCTTGGCTTGGTTTTGGTAATTTGTGTCTGGAAATCTGTCCATTTCTTCTGTATTTTTCAGTTTGCTAGAGTAGTTTTTCATAGTAGTTACCTTTTTCATTGTAGTTACTTACCTGTGTTTTACCTTTTTTCATTCCTAATTGCATTGATGTGAGTCATTTCTCTCCTTCTTTTGATAAGATTGGCTAAGGGTCTGTGGATTTTGTTTATTCTTTCAAAGTAGGAGCTCTTCAATTCATTGATACTTTGTATTGTTTTTTAGTGTTAATTTCATTAATATCTCCTCTGATGCCCCCATTCTTAAACTAGGTTTGGGTAAGTCTTATCTCTTAAAGCTCCTTAAAAGCTTCTGAATTTCTTTCTGTCCTAGTTTTTCAACTTTTGCACTACTGACATTTGGGGCTGGATTTTTCAGTGGAAGTAGCAAGAGTTCTCTTCTATACATTGTAAGTTGTTTCACAGCATCACTGGCTTCTGCTCACTAGGTTCCAGGTCTCCTAGACATGACCATAGAAACATTTCTTTAGACATTGGTAGATGTCCCTGGGAGGGGCAAAATCACTCTTAATTTCATCACTGCTTGCCAGTGTAGGGTTACTGTAGTCATTTCCTTGCAGCCCCTCTTGTCACCAGTGATCTTTCCAGTATGCAAATCTGTAGGTGTCAGGCTACCTGCATAACAGTCTAGCTTTCTCCATAGCCTGAGAGTTAAGCGCAGTGCCTAATGAAGAATGTATATAGTATCACTTACACGTAAGGAAAGACTGTGAAGAAATACTTAAAATTTGAAGTGATTGGGGCCGGGGATTTAGCTCAGTGGTTCCACCGCCTGCCTCGCAAGCAGAAAGACCCAAGTTCGATCCCTGGTACCAACAAAATAAAAATTTGAAGTGATTATCAGCGAATGGATTAGATATGGTTTTAATTTTATTTTTATGGTTTTATTTTTATGTTCAACTTTCTATTATTAGCTTACATTATGTTTATTATTGAGGAAAAATACATGTTTTTTTTTCCTTTTGTTATGACTACTAAAAGCCTATCAAGAGACATGAGTGTTGAGACAAGAAAGAACTCTTAGAGAAAGGTGTCCATGTTTTATTCATCTTTATATATCTATCCAGCCAGACATTTGCTAGCTTCTGTTAAATGTTCTTTTAAAGAATGGGCAAGTAGGAAATACGAAAAAGTGCTCAAAGAAATGTTAATTCTTTTTATTTAGGGATGGCCTATCATTTTCCCTTTACCAAATCAGCAAATATTCTGTTTAATAAAAATTTTTGTTTTTTAAAGTCAGATTTTTTGGGAGCTATAATTAACGTAATATTCTTTTTTAAAAAATGTAGTTTGATGCATTTTGAAAACTGAACAATCATGTAACCATGCCACTGTCAAGATAGGATCATTTCATTTTCATCACCCCTAAAAGTCCCCTTTTCCTGCTGTCATCAGTTCTCTCTTCCTATCTCTGATACCTGGCAGTCACTATTTTCGTTTGTTTGCCTTTTCCAGAATGTCCTGTACATAGAATCATACAGTATATTACCTTTTGTCTCTGGTTTCTTTTGCTTAGTATGATGCTTTTGAGATTAATCCATGTTGCTGCATGAGCCAGTGGATTCCCTATCCTTGCCAAGTAATATTCTACCACATATGCTATATTTCATTTGTCCATGCACTGGTTGACGGACATTTAGGTTGTGGCAGATTATTATGATTATGAATAAAGTTGCTATAAACACTTGGGTGCTAATCTTCATGTGGCCACAGGTTTTCAGTTTTCTTGGGATTATAGCTGATATTAGAATTGCCAGGTCCCATACAGTGTTTCTATGATTTTATGAGACACTGCTAACCACTTTCCAGAATAACAGAGCCATTATATCCCACCCCTTGCTAAAATAAGAACTCATTGCAGTTGTAAGTCAACACTTAAAATAGGTAGCACATCTTTAATCTGCAAATATGAAATGCTCCCGAAAAAACCTTTTAGAGCATCAATATTATATTATGTATATATGGAAAGTTCCATGTCTGACCTCATGCAGTGGATTGCAGTTGAAATGTATGCTCACTAAAAATATATAAAATTACCTTCAGGGGCTGAGGGGTATCTTAGTGGTAGATTGCTTGCCTACCATGCACAAGCCTTCGGTTCAATCCCTAGCACTGAAAACAAAAGACAACCTCTAGGATATGTGTATAAGGTATATATGAAACATAAATTAAATTTTTAGACTTGACAGCTTCGTAGAGTAGTGTTTAGACTGTGGTCTCCTCCCCAAGATGGCTCACTTCTATATGTAATATTCCAAAATCCACAAACACTTACATATTTCAGATAAAAGATTGCCAACCTAGAACTTTCAGAAAGTGTGCTGGCAGTGTGAATGAAGTCGGTTAAAATGTTTATTCTCTTCGACCTTTAAGAAATGTCTTTGTAGCTGGTCATGGTGACACATACCTATAATGCCAGCATTCAGGGAGTCTGAGGGAGGAGGTTCACATGTTTGAGCCCAGGCTGTGTAACGTAGCAATTTATTGAGACTCTGTCTCAAAAAACAAATAACAGAAACAAAACACTGGGGCTGAGGATATAGTTCAGTGCAGAGGCCCCAAGTGTTCTATCCCAAGTTTAAAAAAAAAATTCTTTGTAAAGGAAAATCTGAAATATGTGGAGGTATTTGTTCAAGTACTATTTATAATAAAAACTAAAAAATATACACCACAAGTGTTTCTTTGAATGGTAAAATTGTAAATGCATAAACTGTACAGTTAGCACTATGCTAGGCATTTTGGTGTGGAATCCAAAGAAACTTAGACATGCCCCTTAACACACAGCTTGTAACCTATTTAAAAAATGCTGCTGATTACATAAAAATAATCAGCAATGCAACACAGCATTAAATGAGCTAAAGGCTGAAGACATGGATGGATTGCAGGAAGGTTTTAAAGCATGGCTAAATTGAGTTGGAGGGATGGAGCTTTCTAGATGGAATACAACCTCAGTAGAGATAAAATAGGGCTGTGTGTATAAGAATCACTGGTATAGATATGTATTTTAAATAAAACCATTTTATCAGAGGCTCTCACTAAGTTGCCCAGGCTGGCCTCAAATTTAAGATCCTCTTGCCTCAGCCTCCTGAATAGCTGAGATTACAAGTACATATCACCCCCCCACACACATGTGCACACTAAGTTTTGACCTTAATCTCCCATGATTAGCATATTGTATGAGGAGTGGGGCTATGTAGAGAGCTGGATGTAGGATTTATAATTAACCCAGTGAAAGGTAAAGAGAAGATTAGGTTAGTCTGAGGTATAACTATTAATTGATAATGTCTTTTAAATGAAGCTGATAGATTGAGCAAAATATGAGAGAGTGAAACATTGGTAAATGCTGGTTTGAATGAGAACTGATTCTTTGAAGGTATGGAATGAGAGAATAGTCAATAGCTGTTATTTAAAGCCTTATTTATGACAGTTGTATTGCATATTATCTCACATTAAAGTCATGTTGCAGATGAAGTGGAGTTAATAGATGTTAGAGCTCGTGTATTAATGATGCACTTAAAACATGAGCTGTAGTGTCACCTCTTCTAGGAAGCCTTCCCCATAACTTCTTGGTACTTCCATATTCTTAGTCTAGCTTGAGTCCTGTGTTTTCATAAAACTCATTTGTAATAAGTGCAGTTTTGCCTTTACTTACAAAACTACAGTGTTACCTCGGTTCATGAACTTAATTCTTTCTACAGTTCTGGTCACAACCTGATTTGGATGAGAACAGAATCAAATTCATTGGTTGACCTTATGGGGAAATTTGATTTGGTTTTTATCCAATTCAGTTTGTGACCAGAATCGTGGAAAGAATCGAGTTTGTGATCCGAGGTACACTGTATAATCACCGTATTCCTTTGGAGTTTGGGCACTTAGTATGCTCTGATCCAGCTACTCCTTCAGTAACTGAAGAGGGACGGGGAAGGCTGTGAGTGATCACACTGCAGGGCAGGTACACACAAAGGCACTCACTCCCCATGAAACCAGGCCCATCTCTCGGGTTAGTTACTGGGCCAGAGTTTTGGGTGTTGGATAATTGTCCTTAGAACCATGTAATGGTTCTCCTTTTTATGATTTTCTTATCTACTCCTCGATTTATTTAACTTGAAATTCAATCTAACATAGCTACTAGTGCATGCTTATATTCAAGCAATTTACTCATAGTATCTTTAAACCATAGGTCCTCTGCTGTACCACTTTGAAAATTTGGCAAATGAACTATCCATAGAATTGAGCTATGAGGATATAAAAAATGTTGTCCTGCAATATGGATTCCAGGTAGAGGTAAGAATGGAATGAAATACTGTCAGAGTTCAACTTCCAAAGCTCTTAAGTACGAAATTAGATGGTACAGTTGTTATTGGTTTTACTTCTTCCCTATATTCTCATCCATTAAGTGAAGATAAATAAAGCTTTCAGAATTATAAAAGTCATGTGTATGTAAAGCAAAAACTAATCCCTGCTGAAAATGGCTTTCAATACATATTACTAATCTTTATAATGGCCTTGGTAAATTCACTGACTAGGCTCTGGAGAAAGTAGAATGGGGTGAGGGGCAGGTAAAAGAATACTATATACTAGTAGTTCTCTGTATGTTCTTATGTATTTTTTGATCTTCCTTTTATCATGTGTGTTAAACAAGGTTTTATGATACTTTAGCTATTGTGTTTCAGTTCATTTATTTAGAAGCATTTCATTTATTTAAAAATGAAAACAAACAGATTTGTTTGTAAGAATAGAGAGAAACAAGGTATCACAATAGTTTAGAGTTCAAGCTCTAAATTAGACTGCCTGACTTTGAATCTCATTTTCACCACATATTAGTGGTATGACCTTGAGTAACTTATATTACCTGTTCTTTGTAAAGTGGAATTACTGGTAGTACCAGTCTTATGGGATAGTAGTAAAAAATGGATATGGTTAAGATAGTGCCTACCAGTTATAAGTATTCAATATTGGGGTATCATCATCATCATCAACATCATTATTACTGTTTGCATTGCAGGTGGAAAAAGAATCTGTATTATCAACGTATACTGTGAATGATCTCTCTATGATGAAATACTACTATGAATGTGTCTTGTTTGTGGTCCGTAAGCCACAATAATGATTTTAAGTGATATCACTTGGAAAAAAAGTTTAATAAGATCAAATACTGAAATAAACAACTCAAAATCAACTATCAGAGACGACAGGACACAACCTCAAATCAGTGGTGCCTTCTTATTCCTAACAAAGTTTAGAAATAGTGTCTATTTTCTTAATAACATGTATTGCTTTTTTCAGAGATATACTATGCCATGGAGATTTGTACTACACAAGTAAAAGTGGAGGAAATATCTTGAACTTCATTGAAGCCCAGAATTGTCTCTCAATAGAAAAAACTTAAAACTCCAGTGTCTTCGTGAAACTGTCTCTTGCAAATCTGCCATATTAATGACTGATAGTCTTGAATTCCATAATGATTTTCTTTTTGTTTTATATGCATTGCGCATGTTATTTTTAAGGATCTTCTATTACATTCACCCTTTGGAATTGGGACTTTTGTTTATTTTGAACCTAAGCAATGTACACATAAAATGAGTATTCTTTCATCATTCAAATTAGTTGATTTTATTTTTTCTAGCTCAGCTGAATTTAGAGAGGCATCAGAATTTCATTTTTAATGATACATTAAATTTAATTGTATCACAGGTCAGTTAAAATGCAGTCAGGCAACTGAGAAATTAAGTCTTTTGGCCACACTAAACTGAACACTATCAACGCAAACTCATGGGTCATTTTGAAATGTATAAAATCTCAGCATTCTAAATAAGGAATAAAGGCTTTTTTTAAAAAGTTCTAGAAAACTGGAAAAATAGGAATAAAATGGGCAATTTAAAATATATGATTTCCAACTAGAATGAATACAGAATTTGTTAGTGTGATGTTTACAGTAATGTCTTTGATTATGTGGATTATGAAAGCAAGTACTTTCTTTTTTGTTAAAACAATTATGTACTAATTAAAACTCAATAGTATTAATGTGGAAAATTAAATATGAACTTCAGGGATAAATTACTGCCATGGTCTGTGTCTTCAGTATCTTAAGTAGCAACCATCCATGTAATTTCAGATTATTAACAATTTTGCTCCCTGATAGATGAAGCTTAAACAGTATGTATGCTGCTTTAAATTTCTACCTCAGGCAGATTTTTATTGGAGAGAATTTTCCTTTTTTTTTTAGTATTTGTTATTCTGTTTCCAGTAGATTGGAAAGCAGAGATGGCTAATATTTTAACCTTTTCTTGGAGAAAAGAAAGGACTCTTCTTTTACTTTCAAAGATTGTGATTACTTTAAGTGACCTCTTGCAATTCAGGATTAGATGAACTTAATAATGTGCTGGTAGCATAAATACCATGTTTTAACAGGAAAACCTGTCCGACTTCAGACTTTTGTTGTGAATTAGGTTATAGAAGTCACTACGAAGGAATTTAGTTTTAGGGTTTGGGGACAGGGTAGATTTGACATACAGTGAGGAAGCTTTGGTGATCTTTGCCACAATTTTGCAGTAGAGAGTTCAAGGAGTTCATTACAGTGTCACACTGAAGAAGTCTCTGAAGTTTTGTGTTTTAACTATTTCTTGCTTTGTGACCCTCAGTACTTGGCAGATGTTCATTTGATGGGAATACTCATTACCTACGTGAATGAACTTGAAATAAATTACAAGGGGACAAAAAAAACCCTAAAATTAAGAAAAAGTAGGGCTGGGGATTTAGCTCAGTTCTGCCGCCTGCCTTGCAAGCACAAGGTCCCAAGTTAGATCCCTGGTACCAAAAAACGTAAAGGAGCATAATTTTTTTTTAAGTCCATTAAATGGCAAGGAATGCATGCTATGTTTGAGTAATTTAGAAATGCTTTTTATTCACTGGCTAATATTTACTTTTTTACAACTTGTATCAAAACAAATGATCTTTGTTTTTCTCACAAAGGCAAAAACTGACACTGGTAAGTTGGTTTTATTACCTAAAATTACCTAATGATGTTACTTCTGTTTCTAAATTACAGCATATATTTTAGTTAACTCTAAAATCAGTTATTTCATTTGTTTTTAACCTATTGTTAGTATTATTTTTTAAATGTTCTTATACAAATTTGCACCACTTTTTCTTATAGCTTTTTCAGTTAATCTAACTTGAAAATGTGTTAGCAATGAGTAGTAGAAGTGTCACTGGAAGATTTAATTTTGTATTTCTTAAGTTTAGTTCTAGCTACTAAAATGTGTAACATTGAAGTTTTTTTTTTTCCTTCCTTAAATTAGCTCTATACACAAATGTTTTCCTTTTCACTAAGTGGTCATTGTGCTTGCATTTTAAAAAATTTTCATATTCTAAAGTGGTGCAGATTTAAGCTATGTTAAGTGAGCAAGGTGATATATATATACACACACACACATACATATATGTATATGTAAAGAGAAGCCGTATAAATCACAGTATAAAATTATGAAGTGTACTGTATTTATATCTAATTCTCATTCTAAAAGCTGCCATAAAGGCTGAATTGGAAGCTTCATGTCTGCATGAAATTTCCTATATTTTTAATGTATGATGGACTTAATTTTTCTTGGATATTAAAGTCTGCCAATTGCTATGAAATAAGTCTGCCAGTTGCTTGGTTGTTTCCAACTAAGTTAGTGATAACCACAGATACGGGAATTTTAATTTGTTGAGCACATATACCTGTGAACCCCTGGATTCACCTGTTTTTATATGCTTCTACAAATGAGTATTTGACCTTCCAGTATGCCAGGGTTTTTTCCAGTTACGTTCACTTTGTTTCATTCAAGTTCAGTGTAATGAAGTTGGAATCCTCCAAAGAAAAAGATTAATCTTGGTCTTTAATGTTGTTGAATAATAGAAGAACTATAAAGGCAAACAGAAGGAAAAGGTTCCAGGCACTTGGACCCTGTATGTTCATTTTCCTGAACTGTTGTTGGCAGCCAGAGGCTTCTCTGAGTGAGGGGCTTGGCCAGAGTCCTTGCTCGGGTGCCTCCAAAGAGATCTTTTGGGGGTGGGGTGCTTGAAGACTCTTTCCCCTCTGGTTTGGTCCTCTTTCCACTCCTAGCCCTTCCTTACCCCATCCCTAAGCATACAGGAGCCTTTTCAGAGCTCCCAGACCAGTGAGAAGACGGCCTGTCTGTGGTGACCGCCTGGCCTAGTGAACAGTTCCATGGGGGAAAACAGAAGAGGAGAGTTGGTGCTTTGTCTGGTTTAGCCTCTCCCTGCCCTATGTCAGCAAGTCATTAAAGCCTTGACTGTTTTATTTTGGCTTCCTGTTTTAATCTGCCATTCCAGTACCTGCCAGCTCAGCTCTATTGGCCCAAGGGGCCGACCAATTTCCATTTCCTTTTCCCATTGCAAGCTCTGTCCAACCCCTGATGAGTTAAGGTGCCTTCTTTTGTGCAGAAAGTTGGGTGGAGTAGTTTAATATGTGCTGGAGATGTTTTGCACAGCACAGCTGCCTAGAGACCCAGTTTTCCCTGAGCCGGGCACATCAGGCGGCAGAGGAGACGAGTTCACAGGGACAGTGAGCGGTGGTGGCTGGGAGGAAATGGGACTGTCAGGCTCTTCTCCACTGACCTGTCTCCAAGTTCAGTGCCTGAGCACTGCAGCGTTGCTGTAACTTCCTCACCTACCACATCAGATGAGTCCAGTCTCCAGGACCCCTTGCTTCTTGTCCATTCACCCTGACACTGTTCCACCCTGTAGTCTTCCAGCTCTGGCCACCTGGCACCCTCATCCTCATTCCCAGACAGTCCTGCTGGGCTTGCTGCTATCAAAGTTTTGGCTGTACATTGTTAGGTCAGGTTTTTTCTTTACTCACTTGGAAGTTAAACCAAATGAATTTCCACATCAACTAGCAAAGTCCTCATTGCTGATAACACTGATGTTTTGTTTTGGGGAGCCCCGGCCTCAGCAACCTCAGCCACACTGCAATTCAGCTGGGGCACACAGCTTGCTGTTCTGTTTTTGTGACATTCCGTCCTCTACCTGCCTGGAAGAGAATAACAGGATGTGGTAGTGCACTGTATAACAGTGTTTCATTCAACAACACATACCACATATACATGTAAATAGTGGCTCATAACTTTATATTACCTAGTGACATTGTAGCCATCTTAGTTTTGGGTTTTTTTTTTCTCCTTAAATTCTTTTATTGATACATTTTAGGTACATAATAAATTTACATTTCTCATTGGGAACTTGTACCTTTACATGATGTATCTTGGTTCTTATTTTTTCCCCATTCCCTGCCCTCCCTTCACCCCCTCCACTCTTCT